GGGCTGGGATCCGGAGCCGCCGCCACAGAAGTGTTTCTCGCATTCCTCTCCATGGCTTAGCTCTGCCTTTGTTTCTTTCTGGCCCCTGATTAAAAACCTGCTGCTTCCCACCTCCTTTCCCGGCTGTTCTTTAGCTCAGCATAGCTTCCTTTTCTATCCCCTCCCGGCTGGGACACGCTCCCTTCTGGGCGCTGTGCCGGGATGCCCCTTGCCATGGACTCTCCCTGCCACTGATGGTCACTCCTGGTCCACGTGCTGCCTTGGTGAGGGACGTGTCTCTCAGAAGCGAACCCGCTGCCTCGTTAAAGGCTTGGCCCTTTCTATGTGGGGGTCACCACCGAGAGAGAATCCACCCTGTCCTGCCCAGGTGAAAGAAATGGGCCACTGGCAATCCTCCAAGGAGCCACCTCGGAGAAAGGCGTCCCCACGCGGTCCATAGCCTCAGCTCCCGTGACCATCTGAGCGCCTCCAGCACCATGGCCCCTACACGGGCAGGGCCACAGACAACCACTGTCCGTCTGCACCGAGAAGGACTCAACCAGGATTTCAGAATCGGTACCACCTGCTTCAACGAGAACAACATGGAGTGCTCATTCACCGAGCAAGCCCTCAACGGTGGGACCCTCGGCTCCATCTGCTGGCTGCTGGAGAGACTGCGCTGCACCGTCATCACCAGCAGTGCCCCCAAGCTCTACAACTCGCTGGTGCCAATGATGCTTTGCTGGTACCACAGGAGTCTAGGGCCCAACAACCGGGAGAGCCTCTGGCATCCCAGAGTTGTCGCTTCCCATGCTGACCTGTCTGCGCCTCCTGCCTGTTCCCCGGAGAACCCCTCTCTCCTTCGCCACCGTCTCTGGAGAGGAGGCCGGAGGGTCCCCGTGCTCCATGCAGGCCCACAGAGCATCCTCCGCTGGAGAGCAGGAGTGAGCCAGTGCCTGGGCTAGTCCCCCCACGTGAGCCCTTTGCCCAACACGAGCGGAGCACAGACAAGCGAGAGCTCCGCCTCCTCCGCCTCTAGGCCACCGGAGAGAGGGCAGAACGTGCTAGAGGCACAGGTGGCTTCCCCACCTTACTTCTCGCCCCCCAATGACGAGGTCGTCACGCCGCCACCTCCACCGTCGGCAGGCGACTTTACCGATTCCAGGGGCTGCTCCGCGGGCCCGCGGGAGGAAGTCGGGCCACACCTTGCAAGCCTCCAAAGACAGCACAGGCAGCCTTTGGGCAGCCCTCCAGGAGAGTCCAGTGCCGCCCGGCTGATCAGCAGAGCGCCCACAGCTGGCAGCCCGTGTCGCTGGGCGGTGCACATCGGCACATGTCTCCGTACACACAACAAAATGTGTTCTGCATCTGCATGGAAAAAATGAGGGAACCTTGCTCCTGATCACCCAGGCCTGGCTGGGCCCTGACAGGGTGATCCAGCAGACCCAAGAGTCCATCGCTCCCACCTGCAAGTGAGTGGTTAAAAAACATTCGGCCCCTGCTAACAACACGAGGTTTCTTTTCACACCTGGCTTCAGCACAGGGGAGGTTCCCAGTTAGGCCCAAAGGGAGCTGCCCGTGTGCTGGGCGTTGCACTTAGCCTAGCACAGCAATCCCAACATGCCCCTAGGCCAGTCCTGGGCAAAACACCCTCTGTGGGCCGAATCTGGCCCCCAAGCCTCCAGATCCGGCCCCCAAACTCTCTCCCTGCCCCCCCTCCCCGCTGAGAAATGCAGCCCTTGTGGGGCTGTTTGAACAGCTGTGAGCCTGGGAGAGAGAGGAGTGGTTTCAGATGCTGTGCTTGTCCCTAGTATGATCCCCTTGGCCGGTTTCCAGCCACTGGGTTGCCTGTTGTCAACAGGCAGCTTATGAAGCACTTTCCCCTCCTCCCCCCTCAGGCTTGTAGTTGTTCAAAAACCACATGGCCCCTGAAGCCAGTGAGGGAATGGGACAGGCAGGGAGTCTGCTAAGCAAGGCTGCTGGCTGAGAGTCAAGCAGGTAAGTCTCCCAGCCAGACCCTGCCTCTGGCACCCCATCTCTCTGCCCCTTTACCCCACATAACGCATACCCTCTTCCCCCTGCTGCCTCCATATCTCCTCCCAGATCCTACACCCCAATCCTCTGCCCTAGGACACAACCAAAACCCCTGCACCTCCTCTTGGGTGCCTCCTTCACCCAAACTCCCTCCCAGACCCCACACTCTCTCCTGTACGTGCCCTCTGTCCCCCACCCCCCCGCCCTTCTGCACCCATATCCCCTCCCAGATCCTGCACCCAGTCCCCTGACCCAGGTCACAACTCCCTCCCAGACCCTGCACCCTCCCCTGCACCTCAGTCCCTTACTGCAAGCTCCTCCTGCACCCAACTCAGACCCTGCTCCTCCTCCATTGATTCGAGTGTGGCCCTCGCCCACTTTCTCAATTCTTCAAATGGCCCCCCCATCAAAAGTTATTGCTCTCAGCAGCGCTGTGGCCTCTGGGCCTCTGCCCCTTGCACTGCTGGGCAGGAATTCTGGCCGCTCTGGCTGTGCTGTGCTGTGCTGCATGGCACTGCTGCCCCTTTGCAGCGATGGATGCTCTGGAGGGGCCTGCATGTGGCGCCAGACGTCATCTGCTGTCGTTTCTCGTTCCCTGGCTCTGGCTCACCGGTGTGCAAATGTGTGTTTTCCAGGAGAGCGTCCGGGCCCTGACGAGAGGTGTCCAGACCGTGATGGGTTACAAACCTGGCAGTGGGCCTGTGTCCCAGGCTGCGTCCGGCTCCGAGAATGTCCAAGGAAAGCCCTGGAAAAAGCACGGGAACCGGAACAAGAAGGAGAAGGTGCGCAGGGTCAGCAAGCATCTGGATGCCTAGCTGCCGCGTTGGCGCCGTGTGCTGGCGCCAGGCCGGAGACCCCAGTGTGTCCTGGACGTTCGGCACATGCTGGTGACCACCCACAGCAGATCTGGCTGGGCTGAGACTGCCTGGAGCTAGCCCGTCCGCCTCTGCTCCTCGGTGTTTCTGCCCGCGGAGGAAGCAGCCCTCCAAGAACTCGCCACTGGTCTCTTCTGGAGCAGGTCGGGCCCAGCTCCCACACAGCCCGCTCTGGCGCCGCGGCGGGGACCCGGCAGCCGGGGAAGAAGTGGAAGGGTTGGCCCGTCCTGCATAAAGCTTGTCATGTTTGAGACACTTGCCCGTCTCCTTTCTCACCTGTCCGGTGTATTCCGTCCGACACTGACGGGGGCTTGCCCTCCGCCTCCGGCCCCAGGGCTGGGGCCGCTGTGGGTGAGCCACTCCCTGCTAGCTGCTTGGGCGCTGCAGCATCCGCAGGCTTTGCCTCGGGAAACGCTTCGGCCAGCAGAGCTGGAGGTGCAGCGGGGCCTGGCCGTGCCGGGGGCGGGGAGGAGGGAATGCAGCTCTTCCTTCCCTGCTGTCCCATTGACACTTCTCTGTGGTTCCCATTGGCCTCCTAAAGCCGTCCCTCTGCCTGGCGCCAGCTCGGCCACAGCGATCTGCGTTTGCCCTGCACGTGCAGGACGCTGCGTCTCCCGTGCAGGCGGGGAGCGATGGGAACGCCGCGATGGGAACCAGACCTGAGTCCGTGTGCTCGGGGAACTTGCCGGCCTTCCGGAACTCAGCGTGACTCCGGGGCATCGCCACCGCTGAGTCCCCAGGGTGCGCCTGAGGCCAGGCCAGGCCCGTTCCCTCTGCCAGGACTCTGGGCCAGTGACCTGAAGACGGTGCCCTTGGTCTCTGAGCCATGGGGCAGGGCACTGGACATTCGATGGCTCTTCACCCCGAGGCTGCCATCCCAGCCTCGCTGGCTGCAGTGCCGGCGGTGTGGAGAACGGAGCCCTCGCCCTGGCGGGGTGGGAGCGCCTTTCCCTGTCTCGCTGGGGTCCGCACCCCGCTGCTCAGAAGTGGACACGAATCTGCCCCCACCCCTGGAGGCCCAGCCTGGGCCATGGCCGTTAGTGGTGGAGGAGGGCGGTAGGCCAGGGCGTCCGCGGATTCATCTCCCACTGGCCCCTCCTCTTGCCTTAGCACTTGGTGTGGGGCTGGGAACGGCCCCAGGGCTCCGGTGGGGTAAACTGACGGGACCCAAGGGGTGGGCCGGTGTGCCAGGCCCTCCTGCGCCATGGGGCTCGGCTGACTAGCAAACCAGGTTCCACCCTGAGGCCTGCAGGGGAGCCCTGCGCCCCACTCAGCCCTGGGCGGGGGCAGGACAAGCACCCGGGCCCAGCCATGACCCCACTCCCCGGAAAGTGCCTGGCAGGGAGGGGTGCCCATTTTTCAGGGGACTCTGGCCACTAATCCGCCCCTGCTGGGGTCCACAGCTGGCCCCATCACTTCTCTCTGGGGGGCCCCAAGGGGGAGGAGATGGGGGCATGTGGGGCAGAGACTGAGGGGGCTCAGCAGCAGTGTAGGCTGGGGGGGCCCCTTCT